AATTTGGGACTTAGTTTCGTTTAATTAATCTACAATTATAATCTCTCAAAAACTAGGCTTAATTTTGGCATTATCTAAACTATTTTTATTACTCAAAAGAAAAAAAAGTAAGATTATGCTGAAAGTTAAAATATCTTATATATCTATATCTGCAATGGAACAGGATTGAGAACCCAGAAACAAAACCACTGGTACACAACCATCTTAAACAAACTCTGGGGAAAAGTCAGTCTATTTGGCAATTGATACTGGGAAATTGGCTAACCATATGCAGAAGAGTGAAACTGGACAAAGTTGGCAAAGTTGACAAAATTCTCTATTTTGATTCGAGGGGTCCATGTGCAGGGTTGTTACATAGAAATATTACACGATGGTGAGGCTTGGGCTTCTATCGAGCCTGTCATACAGGTTGTGGACATGGTGCCCAGTGGGTAGTTTTCAGCCCTTATGCTCTCTCCCTACAGGCATGCTCTACCACGCCGGAATTACAGGCATGCGCTACCACGCCGGCTGATTTTTTGATTTATTGTAGAGATGAGGTCTCGCTGCCCAGGCGGGTCTCGAACCCGAGGGCTCAGGCAATCCACTCACCTCAGCCTCCCAAAGGCGCGGGATTACAGGCTGAGTCACCGAGCCCGGCAAAAATCTTAACTGTAAGAGAAATATATTGTAATAATTTTGTCAATAGATCTTATTTCAGTAATGAAACACCCATATTCCTAATTCACTTCCAAACATAATCTTATTCATCTTCTCTAAAACGAAGTAAATTTTTTTCAAAGTAAAATTTTTATATTGAATTTAATAATTATAGTGTAGTGCATGCAGCTCCTTTAATGAAAGTTATATTTGTAAAATGTTATTGATAATTTTTTCTAATTTGTCTCTATTTTTACACATGTATTCATATTTTTATATTTATTCTTTTATTTTTTTATTTTGAAGATATGGGGTACAATTCAGGGTAAGGTATAAATGTTCATGTTGCAAATATCCTTGTTGATGAGGTGTTCCCCACCCCTGTCCTGGCAGTTTCCAACTACTACCAATCCCTTTCTTACAGTATTATGATAATTGTTCAAGGTACACTCCTGAGTGAGAACATGTGGTACACACTTCTTCATGTCTGTAATAGATCACTCGGTAACATAGACTCTAAGTACACCCAAATTGCTGCGAAGTTCATAATTTTGTCCTTCTTTATGGTTGTGTAATATTCCATCGTATATATGTGCCACATTTTTTAAATCCAGTCCTCTTTCGATGGGCAGCAGGATTGGTTCTATGTTTTTGCTATTGTAAATAATGCGGCGATAAACACGCAAGTGCAGGTATCTTTTTCACAGTGTAATCTGAGTTCTTCTGGGTATATTCCCAGTAGGGGGATTACAGGGTGACATAGAAGATCAATTTTTAGATCTTCTAGGACTTACCAAACTGTTTTCCACAATTTGTTTTCCTTAAATTTTCTTTGAAATTTAGATTAGAAGTTTCCTCATTATGTTCTTACATGGCAACTTGTTTTTGTTTAACTAGGATTCAGTTTTCTACTTTTTATATTTTTTATTGATTACCAGTCTTTTAATGACTTTCTTATTTCTATCTAGCTATATAATTTCTCTTATTGCAGAGTAAATTAGCTAAAGATATGAAATAACATTTTAAAACAACGATTGAGCAGTATTCTGAAACAACAATAAAAATCCAATTATGGTTTGAGACAACCTACCAACTCCATTCAATGAGACAGCACAGGTCAAGTGAACAGAGTCATAGAAAATTCATAGGCCTGGCATCCCATCAGGGTCTGCCTAATAAGATGCTTAGAAATAGAAGGCAGCTCATGCTATGACTAGTTCAAAGAATTCAGCAAGCTTGGATTGACATCAGGTATTTTCACTGACTGAGATAATCAAAGAATTTGTGTAAATCAGTCTCTCTTATTAACTGCCAGGCCAGGTAAAAAAACCAACCCACTTGAAGTCAACTCTGCCATCATCTTTTAGGTCATACTGTTCTTTTCAGCCCATAAAATCTTACAAATAGAAAAGAATTAGATTTCTAAAAATAATTTTGTGTCTAGATATGTGGTTTAACATTATGCTATGTTATATCCTATTCAATTATATTAAAATTCTACTGATGTGCATTGAAGAGTACTCTGTTTTTGCCTTAACCCGAGAAAGGACCAAATTTAAACAATACCTGAGTAAACAATTACTACATATTATGATTGAAATGTTCTCTGGACACCTATCACAATGTTGAAGTTTTATCATTAGATATCTATTTATTTGAAGGCACTCTTGGTAGACTATATACAGTCTCTTCTACAACACAGAGGCTCTGGTTATAGTCATGAACACTGTTGTCTGAATGAGTACATGATGTAAATGTTAGTTGAAGTTTTGACTTAAAAAAAGGAAACTATATTTGAATTGGAGTAGAGGGAAAGGCCTTGGTCACCAAAATTGGACAGAGTGTTTTAATATAAATATGTTTACAGTTTCTCCAAATAATGTTTCATCCTATTCTGACACTTTTAATACAAAAAAATAGGTAATGTTATTCTCCAGAGAATACATCTCTGAGTGGTGGTGACCTTCTGTCCAGTTTCCTTTGTAAATCCATTTTGTCTTTGCTTGAAATTTTCTGCTTTCCTCATTAAAAGCTCTCTTATACTATTCATCTAGTTATAAACAAAGGTATTGTGCTTTATTCTAGGAACTGATATTAAATAATGAACAAGACAGTAATAGTCCCTGACCTCATTAGAGCTCGTAGTCTAAAGCAAATTTAGACAATTAATGGGATATTACAATACGGTGTAGTATGTGCTAAGACAAATACGAAGTTCAGGAAAGAACATAATAATGATATATGTGAGATAATTCATATGTTAAATAGCTTAATTTAACCATTCCATAACATAGTCACATATTAAAGCATCATGTTTTACAACATAATTGTATACATTGTTTACTTGTCAAACAAAACATTAATTTAAAAAAAAATCAAAGAGAGCATAGGAGAATTATCTCTCTGAACTTAAAGGATGACAGCTATAGCCACATGGAGGAGATATCCATGTTTCTGAGGACAGATTCAGAGGATAAATGTAAATTAGCCAATGGAATTAAGTTGGGATGAGATTTTCCTAGGTAAAGCATATTTAAACCTAAGAATCAAGAGGGACGTGATATATGTTGGGAAATGAAAAATAATATTTCTGTATAGCTAGAGTAGGGAGTAGAAGACACCATCAGAGAATTTTAAAGGAATTTTAAGTCATAGGAACAAATAATATATTTATCCCAAGTATAAAATTACTAGAGGATTTTTAAGAAGAAAATCATAATTTTATTTTTGAGAGAACATACTACAGTTCTTTTGCAGGTGATATGTAGCAGGCTGGTACCATATTTGAAGCAGGCCATGGAGACGATCTCAACTAGGGTAATGGCAGTAGAGGGAAAACTGTTAGAATCTATCATTATTTGCAAAGCATTAGAAAGAACTGATGATTAGTTGATTTTATGGAATATTATGGACATAATAGAGGAAGTAGAATCTTGCAGAACTATGCCTAATTAATTCTATTATTTGTATTTCACTGAAATAGGAAAAAAATTCAGAAAAAGAGCAAAACCAAGTTGAAGAGGTAAGAATTAGACAAGACAATGATACCCAAAGAATTCTTATTTGATAGTGTTGTTACATTTTGGTAGCTGTAGCACATCCAAGTGTGGAGATAGGGGGAAATCTGGACTTGCAATGTAGCATTGAGAGTTTTCAGCATGTGAGGAGGAATTGAAGCTAAGGGTACTGACAGGAAAGCCTCAAACAAAATTTCAAAGTATAGATTGATGCTACAGGAAGAAACAGAGAGAAAGCCTTCCCCCTCCCGCTGTATCACTAGACTTCCAACTCCGTTTCCCTTGGTCTGGATGCCTTGAACTGTATTCTTCCTTGAGTAATGCTGTATTCTAGGTTGACTTCATTGAAGAATATCATCTCCAATATATTTTAAGTTTAAGAACCAATAACTATATTGTTTCTATAATAATACATATTATATATATAATATAAAATCCAAGATAATTTTTAAAATTCCAATCATGGTTTGGAAAGTAATATTATATTGTACCAGATAATCATGCCTATGCAACATATATTAAAGACCAATATTTATATGGTGTATGACTTAGCCAATTCCCAAAAAGTTACCTGTCACATTCCTTACTTTTATAACTCTTTTTTTAAAGGTAAACAGATCTTTGAAGGAAGACTTTGCAATTTGTTCAGCATGCTATTTATACTTGAAAAGTGTTAAATTATCCTAAACATACTTGTAGTAACAATCAAGATTAGTTGCAGCTATATTAGGATTATTTATTATTTGTTCCACTTCAGCTGTAGCACAATTCCAATTGTACAAACAATTTTCTTAATCCAAATTGTGAAAGTAAGGACAGAAAAGATCATGAAAAACTAATAAATTCTTAACCAGATGGTTATCTAAAATTCTCTTTTTGACAAAGAGCTGATTCTGAACAGATTGTATATGTGTCTCACTGGTAGAAGTGGATTATCTGTCTTGAATTGGATTGTGATGACGATGACCCTATTCTAAGCAAACCAAATCTCTTGAACTATATAATGAGATCAGGAGGAACATTCGGCCTGAGAAAGACAGATTGCAATTGACTGAGATGATTTTGCTAATGTTTTTTTCAATCTCTTTCCTTGATGTACATGATCGTGTAATTTTCTTCCCGCAGAGATTTCTCATCCTGTAGTTTTGTGTGTTAATTTTTTTTCTCCTTCATATTTTTTTATTTTCATAAGCGGAGCTGAATGAGTGGCAGGAAGCTGCGAAATCTATCTTACAAAAAGGTGATTGTAGAAGAGTCTAGAATCTTCATTTACTGTGCAGCAGGATTGCAGAAAACTATCAAGAGTAAACATTTTACTGATTCTCTCTTATTACTTCTCTTTAGGCTGTGAGGAGGCAAAAGTTGCTTGAACAGAGTATCCAGTCTGCCCAGGAGATTGAAAAATCCTTACACTTAATTCAGGAGTCCCTTACATTAATTGACAAGCAGTTGGCAGCTTATATTGCAGACAAAGTGGACGCAGCTCAAATGCCTCAGGAAGCCCAGGCAAGTACATCTGGGAATAAGCTTCTGCTCTTTTGTTTTTATTATCAGAACAAAATGTTGCTGAATTTCTATCATGAAGTTTATTCAACCAGTTGTGCAGGGGGATGTTTTGATTGACTGTTGTGAATATTCGGGGGAAAAGAGGGTCTAGATTAGTACTTAAGATTTATTTCTGAAAGTATTTAATGAAGGAATTTGAAATAGAGACACTTAGAAGACAGGAACATTTGGATCTGGTGTTTGTCAATTATTTCAGTCTGTACTAAAGCTAGAGGGAAAATATAGAAAAGTACATTAAAGGCAGTGTCGAACATTTTATTGTTAACTCATCTTTGTTATCATGGAAAAACAACTCACATGATCTCTATCTTCTTTTATATTAATGGTAATAAGTAGTTAATAACACAAAATTATTGGTATAAACTTGCATTATATTATTAATGACCACGCTCCATATGCTTACACACACATGCACACACATTCAACTCTTCATCCAATCTGAATTATAAAATATGTTTAGCCAGTTTTTTTTTTTAAAGAATGAATGTTGAAAGAGTAATGAAAATAAAATAAGTAAATTTAGGCCATCTCTAAATGTATTTCCATCTTAAGAAATATTTTTAAAGGATAAGTTTCTATTTTTAGACATAATTTAAATGTATGAAAAGTATCATAGGTATTATCTATTTAAATGTCTTTAGGGTTGTGTGATAGTAATGTAGTGTAGCTACTTTTCAAATCATGTGTACGTATTATGAAGCAAATAACCAAGTATAAGTCAGATTGCATGTTATGCCATCAGAAGCATTCAGAGGTTATCTACAAATCTCAAAGGCTCTCTGCTCACTGATAGATAAAAATACCTGGAGTTTTTCACTTTAAAATTAATTTGGAAGCAAAATATTGGATTTGTAGGTCATGGTTACAATGCAGTTAATTACAATTTTCAAGGGCATGAATATACACAATAGCATAAATTAGTTTACTATATTGTCTAAGTTTGACAAGGAAAGTCCTTGAGAATGGGGCAAAATACAGGTAGTAAGTCTAGAGTAAAGGGTTTCCTTATGGAATGCACACTATTATAATAGGGAATGGATAAAGGGAAGTTTGGGGAGAATAATAATAGTTTTTCACTGGGGCAATAAAAGTAACTATTATGAAAAGGGAGGATAATAGTAAACCTACTTGACTTTTAAAAAATTAATGCATAATAATTGTACATATTTAAGGGGTACGTGTGATACTTTCAAACATACCCTTCCAAGTATATACATTTTCCAAATTTATGGAAGACAAGTTCTCTAGCATTAACTATTTCTAAGACTGTCCTGTCCCGGTGTTAGTCACACAGAAAAAGTTTTTTTTTTTTAATAGATATTTAACATGTCCACATATCTAAGGAGTACCTGTGATTTTTTTTACATGCATAGATATGTATTGATCAAGTCAGAGTATTTAGGATATCCATCACAGCCAGGGTTTGGTAAAATACATGATCAGATGGAAGATTATTACTGAATTGAGAAGAACTACATGATTTTAAACTAAATGCATAGTAGAAGTGCTTTTACTTAAATTTAGTGACGTGACCTTGAATGAAAGTTTGATTAAAATATTCATAATTTACTGAATGGAATTAAGGATCATTTTGAGCAACATAAATACTAAACATTAAACATTGATTTGTACTTTAAGTAAAGATCTACATTTTGAGGCTTGTAGAAGGAAACTATGAGTAGCAAATTTGATAGGCAAAAGCTTTTATTGTTTTATTGTTCATTATTATTATGTTTTAGAAAGAAAATTAGCACTTTTAGGGGAAAAATCTTGTCTAGTTGAAAATGTGATATGGGACACTGTGTATTTAGAAATGGACCCAGTATTCTATAAACATTAATATAATGTATTAGTTTCAGTAACAAAATATCTTGTTTGGTTTTTGCAAATTAAAAAGTTATAGCAAAAATATGATTAACTACAGCAGTAGAAAAGTGCTTGCAAATAGCAGACACAGGTAAATTAAGACATTTCAAATCTACTTCAAGAGAGAGATTTAAGAATGCTGTACTAACAAACTCAAGTCTATTTTCTGTGTGTTTCTGGTTGCACCTGCATTTTCAAAATAGTTCTTGTCTTCGAGTCTCGCCAAATGGTAATATATAATATTGGAAAATGCAAGCCACCTATAATAACACTTTTCTGCTCCAAGATTTTATTTTAAGATGACAGCAAGTGAATTGTTTTCTGGGACAGAGTTATCAGATACTCAGATGTACTTCAAGGATTGCATTTCCTAAAGTTCAATTTGAAAGTCTCATGAAAGAAAAAAGCAGAAATTTAAAAATTTCTCTGTAGAGAACTTAAGCCAATTGTGTAGACAGAGTACCTACTAAGAGTGTCACCAAAATGGCATTTAAAAAAATAAATATATACTAGGGACTAATTTTAATGCTTTGTATTAACAGAAACCAAATGTGATATTTAAAATTTGGATAAAAATTTATTGCTAATTAAAAGATTAAATGGACTTTAGTTTCTCTATTCAGAAGTTGCATCTTTTTTGAAAATTCGCTTCTGAGAAACAAGAACAAAATAAATGATGTTACCATATTTAGTACTTTTGAAATATGTACTCAGATTTTCTGTCACACTACTTACATAGATTTGTGGGCGTCTGACTCCACCGTGTGGTACATTGAGAGTTTTGCTACTAATAGAGCCTTCTTTTTCTGCATTTTAAGATTGTGATCCCCAGGTATAAAAATGAATATATTAAGAAATGCAATTTTTGATCTCTATACTTTTGTTATATGTAAAGGTAGATGTAGATCAAGATATTTCCTTTCATTCATACGTGTATGCATATTTATAATGGGAACAAAAAAGAGCTTCCTACTTCCTCAGCATGTTAACTGATTTGTTATCTGTCATGATTACAAAACTGGGCCCTCTTACTCAGAATTGAATTGAAAAATACTTTACTTTTTAATTTAGTGACATGAGCATACAGAAACAAAGCTTAACATTTTAGACAATAAAACCACATACTACACAAATATCAACGCATAAGTTGATTTATGAATATTTTATTTCAAAAAATAGCACTTAACCAAACCACAATCTTAAATTGTATGACCACAGTATCGAACTGCCCAGTGCCATCCCATTTAAAGAGAGATTTTTATCAAAGTAAAAAATTAAGATGACATCTTATTGATTCAGAGTAAAGCAAATGGAAAAAGCTTTTCCAGACATAGAAACATATCTTCTAGATATAGAAACCAAAAACTTAAGAACTCCTCCAAAAATACACTAATTAAAAGTGCTACAACCTATGAGTGTTTCTTGGAAATACTTTTAAAAATAAAATCACCAAATCGTTTAACTGCAAAGATACACATGTCATGAACTGAGCCGTTTACTCCTCGATTTTTCAGAACAATATACTGAAGCACAGTTTTAGTTTTGGTGCCTGAAATCTCATAACAAAAATCCTAGTACCCAAACTGCACTCCAGTCCAATCAATTCAGAATCTCTAGGTAGATTCAGTCATCGGAATTGTGGAGAACTCTCCCAGTTATTCTAATGTATAGCTAAGATTGAATATGGCTTTGGATAGTTCATTACTGGTAATGACTGAAGTGATTCAGTCTTTTTCATGTACTTCTAACCCTCATTCATATAGTTTCTCCACCTATGGCTGTGTCAAAATTTTAAGGGGCGAAAGTAAGCATGGCAATCAAACTATTGATGATACTCTCTCCTGTTTTTATTTTTCCCCTCACTCTTATGAAAAATTAGTGAAGGTAGAAAATAAAGCTGAGAACTACTGCACAAATTGAATCATTTGGAAAAATGAAATTTTCAATATTGATGTTTAAAGCTGAACTTAGTCTGGCTATACTATATTCGTTTTTTTTTCTAATTACACATATGTTTACATGCCAATTAGTTTGGATGAGGTTCTAAATCGTTTTTAGGGGCCAGTGATAACTATGCTTAAACAGCTACTTAAATGTCTTGAATTTTTTAAATTACAAAGATAGTTCATCATGCACATTTCTTCTTTTCTAATAATTTTCGTTTTTGAGTCTTCAGTATGTAAACACAACGCGACATAAGCGCATGTTGAAATCCTCCATGTCATTATGTGTAGATGGTGCACATTTTACACAGAACATGACCACCCTGTTACTTCGATGACTGAAACAAACAGTAGAATTGCCTAGCAATGATTGCTATAGTTTAATATTCTACTTCTATTGTTCCACAGATTTCTGATTCAATTTTGGAATCTCATGTCCTGCATAGTAGACTTATGTGCACAAGTAGAGGAACAAAAATAGAATAATTCAGGAAACAAGTTATCATCAAAAGAGAGGGTCTCATAATAAAAAACAGAAAAGTGCTGCTATGTTTTGCTCACCAAAATTGGACTTTTTGAGTGTTCCTGAGTCCTCTACAGAGCAGATTTCCTTCTTCCGTTTTCTTCTCCCTCCCGTTAACAATGTGGTCACAATTTTAAATAGAAGAATCTTTTATAGTGAAAAAAGCTGTTAACTTAAAGTGATTACATTAGTTACACATCAAAAGAATTTATAATTGAGGTTTTTCTGTGTTTATTCATAAAGTTAAATCTTATAACTTACTTTAAATATATTTGATCATATTTAAATATAAAGATTTCAAACTATCAAAATCAATGGCTTAAAAATGAAGACATAAATGTAGATTTTGGTCTATTAGATCAAGCTTATGATTTCCTTAGAGGATAAAAGAGATGTTTATAACATAAATAGGCACACTTCATTGCCAAATGACTTGGAACGTTCTAACTTTACAAAACTTATTTCACTCATTTACAAATTAGACAGCACAAACCTGAAAAGAAGACTTTTTATGGAATTTATGTGATAATTAAATAATTTATACAAAGAAGAAGAAAATAGAGAACTAGTCCAGAGATTTGGGTTCAAATGTTAAATCTCATACAGCCATAGCAGATTTTTTTTTCTTTTTACCCAGCAAAGTAGATATGATGGTAAAACTTGTACAGTCAATTGTAAATTTGTTCTAACATTGAAATGCTGCTGCCTTATGTGTTACTATATACAACTGACTACTCTGCGTTTTAGAATGACTATTATTATGATTTGTTTAATAGTGTGGGAAACAGTCACAAGCAAGATTTGAAGAAGAAACAAAAGATTAGAAACATGCCACACATCATTGACTGTTCTTGGAAAACAGCACAGTACTATGTCCTCACAAGATATATGATAAAGAAATAGATTTCTATCATACTATAAACTCTGAAAGGTACATCTTAAGCCTGCAATTAAATCATAGTATCCTGTTGTAAAAACTCTCTACAAATTCTAAATATAAAATTAGCAGTATCATACTATGGTCACAGTGAAGAGAGTTGCATTACTCTGAATAATTTGAGGCTATTTTGAGTCAATGTTTTCTGTTTTCTCTTACACAAAATGGTATTTATTCCAAAAATAGCCCACAGAAAAGTTATTAGTCTAAAATGCATATCTAGATAACACTTGTCATAGTACACCCTTTTTTGTAGTGTTTACTGTTTTAAAGTTTTTAAACTTTTACTTGCTTTTAAAAAAAATTTCCTCCATCTACCCCCACTCCTTACCCACTAAAGTTTAGCTACAAGAAAGCAGGGCTACCAAGCAGATTCACAATAAATATTTGGTAAATCCATCAAATTCCACAAGGGCTAGTCACCAATTATTTGCTGACAAATGTGATAGGAAATGTAAATTTTGAAAAATAAACAAGCCTAAAATGATACTTGCTATCTTACCACTCATATGATAACATAGAAGAAAGATGAAAATTAAATTTCTGATCAAAATTGTTTGCCATGATCATCGAGAACCTTTTTACTATGGAACTTAATAGTATACAATTGACATTTTGTCAGCTTGCTTTATGACATTACCAAACTTTGTAGCTTGAGAAACGCTTCCAACATATTTTAAGTGTTACAAAATGGAATTATTCTCATGAAAAGGAATGATTAATGGGAAGTATTTCAGCCTCTCCATGTTACATACTTTTCAAAGACTATACCACGTGAATGCCTAATATTTTTTAAACAGTCACATTATTTTATCACTACAAAAATTTAATGAGGTATATATCTAACATCTATGTTTAAGAGAATATTTGAAAATACTAGATTAATGGTTGAAGCATGGGGCAAAAACAAGTTGTGAATGAAAATGGACCACGGACTCAATCTTTTGGGGTTAAGAGAAATGTTCTAAAGTTGGATTGTGGTGATGCATGCACAACTCTATAAATTTACTAAAGTTCACTGAATTTTGTGGTATATAAATTATGCTTTAATAAAACTGTTTTTTCAGCCGGGCTCGGTGGCTCAGCCTGTAATCCCGTGCCTTTGGGAGGCTGAGGTGAGTGGATTGCCTGAGTCCGCGGGTTCGAGACCTGCCTGGGCAGCGAGACCTCATCTCTACAATAAATCAAAAAATCAGCCGGGCGTGGTAGCGCGCGCCTGTAATTCCGGCTACTCGGAAGGCTGAGGTGGAAGGATCGCTGGAGCCCAGCAGGTCGAGGCTGCGGTGGCCAGGAGCGGCCACTGCACTCCAGTCTGGGCGACATAGTGAGACTCCAACTCAAATAAATAAATAAATAAATAAATAAATAAATAAATAAATAAAACTTTTTTTAAAAGACTATTTAATAGAGAATATCTCAAATGCATATTTTACCATATAATTTCAGGTTACCATCAACTTTTTTCACTCTATTATTTTGATGCAAGGTAAAGGATAAAATGTGAGGAATTTTGTTATATAACCTGTAGTTAAGTAAAATGTAGCTATTTCTTGATGTCCGGACTGGTATCCAAAAGATCTTACATAATAATGTAATAATATTTCAATTGTTAACATTCGAGTACATGTAATGATTTTTATTTCTAAAGCATTTGTACTGAAGTTGAGATTTAAACTCAGATCTGCTTTCTCCTCGTTAATAACTAGCTTCCTATCAAGTGAAAAATAACCTAAAGCTACTACAATTCCCAATTATTTCTACTCAGCATTCCAAATTTTCCCATAAAATTTGATTTCTTTCCTTATCCAATTTGAAAAGTAACCAAATTGCTTGAAGATAATTTTTTTTTTTTTTTCTGCTCCTGGCCACTGCAGCCTCGCCTGCTGGGCTCCGACGATCCTTCCGCCTCAGGCTTCCAAGTAGCCAGAACTACAGGCGCGCGCTACCACGCCCGGCTGATTTTTTGATTTATTGTAGAGATGAGGTCTCGTTACCCAGGCGGGTCTTGAACCCGCAAAGATAAATTTTTATAATGGATTATTCTATTAGCATCATTGTCACTGTTATAACTAAGCATAACATTATTTCTCAGATGTATTACAAGTAGTAGTAACTGCATACAATATTTATTTATTCGTTCACTTGTTTATTTACTTAAAATTATAGATTCAGAGGATACATGTACAAGTTTGTTACAGGAGTATATTGTATATGACTGTGGTTTGGGCTTCTAGTGAACCCATCACCCAAATAGATATTAGACATATACCTCATTAAGCTTTTGTAATGATAAAATAATGTGGCTGTTTTGAACATAATAGACATTCACATGGTATAGTCCTTGAAAAGTATGTAACATGGAGAGGCTGAAATACTTCCCATTAATCATTCCTTTTCATGGGAATAATTCCACTTTGTAACACTTAAAATATGTTGGAAGTGTTTCCCAAGCTGCAAAGTTTGGTAATGTCATAAAGCAAACTGTTAAAATGTCAATTTGATACTATTAAGTTCCATAGTAAAAAAGGTTCTCATAGTAAAATAGTGATCGTAGTACCCAGTGGGTAGTTTTTCAACTCTTGCCCTCTTCACCATCTTCCTTCTTTTGGAGGTCACAGCATCTGTTGTTTTCATCTTTATGTCATGTTACCCATTGTTTGGCGTCCACCTATAAGTGAGAACATGTGGTATTTGATTTTCTGTTTCTCAGTAAGTTTGCCTAGAATGATGGCCTCCAGCTGCATCCATGTTGCTGCAAAGGGCATGATGTCATTATTTTTTATTGCTGCATGGTATTCTTGTGTACATATATGACATTTTCTTTATTCAATCCACCAGTGATGGACATTTAGGTCGATTCCAGAACTTTGCTATTGTAAATAGTGCTACAATAAACATACATGTGCATGTGTCTTTTTGAGAAAACACTTTCTTTTCCTTTGAGTAGCTACCCAGTAGTGGAATTTCTTTTTTATTTTTTCTCCTGGAAATTTATGGCCCACTTTAAGAAAACATTTTCAGTATGAAAAGTTTTACACAAACTTAATAATAAAGCAGTTACTTGTTTTTCCAGAAATCTATCATGTCACAAAACTCATATGTCAAGGAAAAATGCAAGGGAAACGCTAAAATAAAATGTTTTATTTTTTACTACCACCTCTCTTTCCTATCAGAGTAGTAAGGAGATGGAATAATGGTCACCAGTTAATTTCTTTAACGTTTTTACCATAAATCTCCATAAAGGCATAGCAAAATACCTTTCTTTCCTTTTTTTTTTTTTTTGAGTTGGAGTCTCACTCTGTCACCCAGACTGGAGTGCAGTGGCCGCTCCCGGCCACCGCAGCCTCGACCTGCTGGGCTCCGGCGATCCTTCCGCCTCAGCCTTCCAAGTAGCTGGAACTACAGGCGCGCGCTACCACACCCGGTTAAGTTTTGATTTATTGTAGAGATGAGGTCTCGCCAAGTTGCCCAGGCGGGTCTCGAACCCATGGGCTCAGGCAATCCACTCACTTCAGCCTCTCAAGGCGTGGGGATTACAGGCTGAACCACCGAGCCCGGCAACAAAATACCTTTCAATGGCTTTAAATGTGTGCCACTACTGCATACATTTAGATAGATAGATGGAGGGGACTTCACTTATTCAATGAATATATATTGATGGTTCCAGCGTGCCTCACAAACCCTGAAAAAAAAATCCTGTAGTCACGTTGTTAGACTATAATTATTTTTTGGGCCTGTTGTAAATTCTCGATAAAGGCCAAAACTTCTTCTGCTGACAAATTTTAATTGACAGGCAATATTCTTTCTAACTTCTATCATCAACTTCGGGGATTTTTTTTTTTTAAATAACAGAAGCGAACATTTATTAGTAAAAATCA